CTCCAGTTCAAAAAAAGGCAAAAAGTACTAAATTAAAATGCAAAATTCTTTATTATGACTTAAATATACATCAAACTACAACTAAAATGAACGCATCATAAAATAATCATACTTATCAAACTATAACAAGAATAATAAATAATAACTAATGACTTGTTTGTTCTTGAATTTGTTGTATAATTAATAATACTCATTCGCCCTGATTCTGATCTCATTAACCGCTGGGTGAACCATTCACCAAATTGAGAAGCACTGCTCGAAAGTCATGTGGATGAAAACAATATATATATATAATATAATAAAATATACAAAATTTTATCTTCATTAAGACAAGGCAGTCTAATTCATAATGAGCTGAGAATTTAAATATACTAAACAAGTTTTTAACAGAGCAGACTGTATGAAATAACACAATCATTTTTTTTATGGTGTGAACCTTTTTTGATGACAAAGCATATTCATAATCAATTACATTTGTCACAAGACAGTAGTGTTAGATTTACTAAATTTTTAAACACTATTCAGTCCTTTAGGGATTTTTTGAGAATATGAGTGTATTATAGTATTTCAACCACATTATGTTTGCCACATCCATTATTTCTTCAATGAAATATAAAATAAATCAATAAAGTATAATTTTTTTAATCTTTCATGAACTTTCTTAATTTTCCTTGGTTCCTGGGAATACAAAGGTTACTTATACTTATTTACTTGATGTGTCCATCATATGTTCTTCATTAGCAGTAACTATGACCAAGATGAGGATGGAAGAAAGCATCATTTGTCATTCCTTGAACTCATGGAAAGTGCATTTCAATAGATTAATGGTGTGAATGGTATAGAATAAAATAAATGATACAGCTTAACTACAGTGAAAAATGGCAAAATTTTCCTTAACCTGTTTTGTTCATGGGTTATCTAACATATTCTGCTTCAAGTTTCTACCTGTGAGTAATAACTCCTCCATTAGATTTTCAAGTATTTCTGTTCTTAGCATGAAAATCATGTGGCACTCAGACTGGTATAGTAAGGACTTTAGAAATCCACACATAAATCTTTAGTCCATGAACAGAATTACTAGAACTTGTAATTCTCAAAAACAAAGAAGCAAACTAATATGAAAAACCTTACAAGGAAAGAATGAATAGAGAAAATTTTTGAAGAAAAGAATTTATTGCAGAATTAGATTAAACACAACCCTAAGTATTATTGCTTAGTGGCTACTTGCATTTCGACTTTCACAAGCTAAAAATTACTCAACTGATTGAAAATTTGTTGCAAAATTTTAGAAGATGTTAACTAAAACGTATTCTTTTCATTTCACAGTTTTCATATTTTATTTGCATAATCTCTAGATCCTCCTAAATAAATATCAAATTTGTTTTTGGAAAATTTTATATTTTATCTCTTATTTTCTCTACCCTAGATCCTCTAGATCAAATTTGTTTTTGGAAAATTTTATATTTTATCTCTTATTTTCTCTACCCTAGATCCTCTAGATCCTCCTAAATAAATATCAAATTTGTTTTTGGAAAATTTTATATTTTATCTCTTATTTTCTCTACCCTAACACTAACAAGCACACTTGATTCTTGGGTCTATAGAGAAATCATTAAAGTTGAAAAAGTACAAAATAAGATAAGTATATCATTATTTCATTTAAGTTGATATGAGTATTGTTCAGAAATTTCCAAGTTATTTAAAGTAATAAGGAAAGTGTTACAAGGTCAATATTTAGACTAATTTTCTGTAACAAGGAAAGGAATAACTAAGTTTCATAGTATGGCAAGAACATGAGGCACTTTTTTTCATACAAGGAAATTAAACTTGTATTGAAAACAATTTATAACCAGTATTTTTTCTCTCTCATTTTATCCACATCATGTCATCACAACCGTCATCCTATCAATTTCCTCATTTCTATCAATACTTCTTGAACCTATGTGTTTTTGTAACATCATGAATGTGTGCTAGGTTTGTCCTTGGAATATCATAGTTGGGAATGCAAAAAGGAAATAGAAATTTTTAAAATATTAAAATATATTTTAAAAATACCACTTATTACAAAATCTTGATCCTGTAGTATCCTTATTGGTTATGGTTTGTGCAAATGTCAACTAGTACTGCTGTTTAAATAAACTACAATCATATAGAAAGAGTACACTGTAGTCCAGGTTTTATATGGATCTAATACATACAAATATAAAGTAACTCAAGGTTTTTTATTTATTTTTTTTAATTTTGTTCAATAAATACTTCTTTAATCTATACATATTCATTTGGGATAAATATTTTATATTATATTTTTGCTTTGCTTATGTTTTATTGACAATCTTTGCATAAGTATGTTTAAGCTCTGCATGCAGTCTATATTCTCTGTTTTCAAAGGATTCTTTTTGTCATTTTGTTTTCTGTTTGAAAACCTTAAACATTTATTGTTTAAATAAATTTTTAATACAATATAAGTAATGACAAATCTAAACAATTAAAGTATATGTCAAAATATGTAGATTAAGAACTGAGTTAGCTATAAAATCTAATTTAAAAAACTTAAGTCAGAAGGATTGAAATCATGATGAAAAAATAATATAAATCGTCATGATGTTGTGAAACTTATATTTACTAGATTCCATTAATTCAATAGTTAATTGTTACCGGTAACTTCAAAATGCTTAAGCTCTGTAGGAAATTTAGGCTTGACATAACAATCATCTTATAAGTATTAATAACTCGTTAAATTGTCAAAAAAAATTTAAATAGGAAATAGTCAATGTTTGTTTGATATATTTAACCAATTAATATATAAAACAAGTTATTACTTAAATAGCATGAAAACATAACATTTGTATAAAACTGTGACTTGAACTGTATGCTTTCACTCTGTCAGCTGTTTATGATTGTTTTCTACCTAATTAAACCAGATCTAGGACCCTCAAGTGAGAAACCAACTAAAAGTGGAAATTATGGGACTAATTGGGGGAGTTTGCTTGGTATGATTGTAATAGTTAGTACATAAAAGAAGACCAAGCCAGGCTTAAAAGTTATGTAATAAGATGTTAACATTATTTCAAATTCATAATTATACAGGAAAATCAGTACCTAGTGTTCCTAACACTTAAGAGTACTAGGATCCTATGCTGTTTCAGCCTATCAAAATTCATACCTAGTAATCAAAAAAAAGTTTGCATTTGACACATTTATTGCTATTTTTAACTCTTAAACTCTACTGGATACTAAAGCTATGTAAACAGCATGTTTAATTCTATGTTATCATTGAATTATTTTAGAGCTTCCCTTAACCCTTTTGATCAGGGCTCCTGTTGTGGCTAATTTCCTTGTGATGTAAAGATTACTGGATGATTACTGACACAGTTGGTACAAAGTACTGCAATAAAACCATAAAATAAAACAGATGTGAAAAAGTTAACAGTTGAGTTGAAACTAAATCCTATGATTGACTTGGCATACAATCCTTGAATTAAGATGTTTTAAATTAGAACTCTTGAAAATTTTTAAAATTTTGGAAATATGGAGCATATGCCATAAATATGGAGAGTGAGATATGTGGTATTTTGATATCTTATGATGTAAGCAGAAACTAGCTTCTAATCTTAAATTCACAGTATTTTGAGAAGTATTACATGTAATTATATTCAGTTTTAGTTTTGTTGATTAACTCTAAGGATCTAGCTCAGTGTTTGTTATATCAACTACCATTAGAAATATCTTGCATTCGAGAAATGTAGAGAATGAGGGAGTTATATTTGTTTATTAATTTGAAATATTACATATGTAAAAATGAGTAATTGTTTTGAGGATGAAATAAAAGTGTTAAAGACATTATTTAAGAAATATTTTTTACATTTTGTCACACATAACTACCACATTACTATTTGATTATAGAGAAATCATAATAGTTTACTGTATGAAGGTGGAACATTCATTAGGACATCTGAGCTTTGTGGTGCCAGAATCATTAAAGCTGGGCTAAATACAGCACAGTGGTTACCATGCTTGACTGTGGATCTGAGATTACACGGTCCCTGCACTGTTACATTAAAACGGAAAAATATGGGATCTGCACTTTGGGGCTATGTTTCCATTAAAAGAGTGATGGTCAAGTTTTGCTATTCAATTAGAGTAGCCCAAGAGTTTGTGATCAGTGGAGTTGACTAGATGTCTTTCCTCTAGTCTATTCTATCACTTCAAAATTAAGGACAGCTAGTGCAGAAATACCCCCTTGAGTAGCTTTGTGCAAAACTCAACAAACAAACAAACCACTGAATCCTTAGAACAGCACATGTTATATACTAAGATTGAGTTTAATAAAGTATTAGATATACAAGGGGAATCATAGAAGTAAATGTGCTTTAGTATTGGAGGCCATGAGTTACAAAGGTTTACTTGTATGTGTACTCTTTACTACCATAAAATAGTTTTTCATTTGCATGTGGTCCATTGTTTATCAACCCCAAATTATGGAAGGGGGAAATGTCCTTTTTTTATTTTATTTAAAAATTATATACACTCTGAGTTACTGTGTCAAACTGAAAGGTATGTGTGGAATTCCTGTACTTTCAGCTTTAGTTTAAGCCATTGGTCAGATGTTATTTATACAAGTACTGTGAGTTAACATGATATTTCAGTGTCTTAACTAGAAATTAATGTTCTGTTTCTCTTTTATTTTTTACATGTTGTATGAGAAAATTTATTACTTTTTAAACTGTGCAACTATCTGGGTTGGTCAAACATATATATGCCTAGAATTATGTTTAAGTTTGGTAATTTGTGACGTTCATAGACCTTTGATAAAAGCTTAAGCCGAAACGTCGGGTACAAGTAATTAAACATTTTTCTGAAGTTGTTTGTCATCTTCATTATATAATGGTTTCTATCCTTCAGTCAGCACTGAAAATTTTAAAAAAAACAGTAATATGTTTAAGACATTCATATATTACTTTAGATGTTTTTAAACATGAAATACTAACCTTTTGTCTAAAAATATTTTGCATTCTATTTTCACATTTAGAAACTACTATTTAATCTATATGTTAATGATAGTAGATGTGCCCTTTAACCATGTGTAATAGATGAATATCTAGTTGTATGTATGTGGATGTATATTTTATTTGCTAATCAACGTTTTGTGATTTCTTTGTATTTTGTCTTTTTTTTAACTAATACCTTTATTGATAAAACTCAGTAGACGTGCAGGTAGGATAACTATGATAATAGCTACCAGACTTGTGTTATTTTTCTATGTCATAAGGAGTTGCATGAAGAAGCCTTGGCATCAGAGGAACAAGAGTCAACTGTGAAAGATACAGAGAATCTATCTGAAGATCTTCGTCAATTTGTTGGAAACTCAAGTTTTAGTGATGTGAATATTCATATCAAAGATGAAATACTGTTTGCTCACAAAGTTATTCTGGCTGCAAGATCATCAGTATTAGCAAAGGTATTATGTTTGTTGTATTCTGCTTATAAGTTATTAAAAGTGTAAAAGCTGCTTCTTCCGCAGTTTGATGAAATTTGTAAAACTACTTACCTGTGCAAGAAGGAAACTTAAGTTAACGAGACTGAGTATCACATCAACCACTATTGGAAATTTGTGATGTTTTTCGCTAAACAATAACTGTTGTATGACTGGGTTGTACCAGGTTACCTACTTAATCTTTTCTTGTAATAAATAAATAAATGAAGTTCAAGTGTATTTAATTAAAAATAAAGAAAACTTGCTTGAAAATGAATTTAAGAGTTAACAAACATAATCAATAGGTTTTAACTTAACATAGAAAAAAGAGAAGAAACTTCCACAGCACACCTTGGCTTCTTCAGTTTCAAAAACAAATCTAGCTGCAAATTTCAAACAGCCCTCTCATTGTATATTAATTCTTTAGCTTAGTTGACCCATCAGAAAAATGGATCAAAAGTATCCAGAAATATATTTACTTCTTGTAACAGTCTTGGAGCAGCCCCACACTCGCAAGAAAGAGTAGAACACAATACATTTAATACATGGCTGGATCCTGCTACATAAAGTCCAAAACCACCGTTTACCATAACCAGTTACATTGAATTTAGCATTGTTGTACATGGTTGATGAAGTTTGATCATTTAAAGAAATTATTGTGGGATAATGGATTGATTTACTGATTGAACTGTAATTTTTAGAGAAAGCTTTGAAAACAAGAGTAAAAATTAACATCAGCGTTTTCTTCATGTGGAGAAAAATAAGGTCATAAAATATGGCATTTTTGCAATATGCAAAACATTCTCACCTTTTAACAATGCATGTCCACATGTGGCACATTTGACGCAACACAGGATTATGGAGTTGTGTTGGGAAGTTCTCTCTCATCCACCATATTCTCCAGATATGGCACCATCAGAGTACCATCTTTTTTGTTTGCTGCAACACCATATTAATGGGAAAACGTATGCAAATGTGGAAGGTGTTAAAGAGAACATCAACATGTTTTTTTGCTTCAAAGCCGAGTGATTTATTTAATCAGGGCATTAACAACCTGATTGTAAGACGGAAAAGCATCATCGATAAGAATGGAGACTATGTCATTTAATAAATGTTTTGTTTTGATATGTAAATCGTTTGGATTTTTTTCATCTAAAAGAAAAGCAACATTAATTCTTGATGACCTAATACTTCTGGGGACCGTAGGAGTCACCATGCCAAGATTGATCAAATAGTGTGCGAGGAGTTAGCAGACAGACAAACATACAGTTTCACTTTTATATATATAGATAGATTATCCTGACAAAATAAGAGATAAAATATTATTACTGTCAATCTTGAAATAAAAGCAATGACAGGATTAAACTAGAAATTTGTTATCTTTATAGGTTGAGACTACAGAAAAACTAGATGAAGATAAAGTAGGTCCATTGACTCAGGTATCATGTGATGCCATTAATAACAGTAGAGATTTTATGTTTCCTAACACCCTGGAGCACCAGAAGGATGGATTTTTAGATGAACAGGTGTAATATCTTTGTATATTTCATCAAATTAGATTATTTTAGTCTGACTGTGATGACTATATGTACATGTGTGTGTGTGTGTGTATCTAAATTGATAAATAAAATGTAAAAAGAGGCCAGCAGAGTGAACAATTTAAAACATAAGGTGATACTCTCAAAACGATAGATACTGCATAAAGCCTAGAAATACTGTTGTTTTTCACAACAAATTAGGCTCTGGTGAGTAGTGCATTTCTGTTATTGCAAGACAAGCAAATATTTCTGTATTATGAATATTATAGTATTAAAGTAAGCAATATCATTAGGGCATTTTGTAACTGTTTCACACTAGTAAAAACCTTATGATGTTTTTTGTGCCTTTTAACTTTTTAATTGTTTTTTAAGTTTTTCACATAGATGATATAAATAGTAAAAAGTCCCAATGCATCTGTAATTATAATGAAATATTTTTTTATGAAACTAAGATTTTAAACTTTCTTATAATACATTGATTTCCACCTTATGAATAATTTTAATCTCTACAAAAAGATCTTCTAGTGTCATAATAAGTGTTCATACCAAAAGGTAAACTGTGTACAGTCTTTGTTTTTCTAGAATCAAGGTGAATTTGTTCTTGCTGAATTATGTATTATCTGTCACACACTGTGACAATAATCTTTACTGTTATTAACAATTAAACCCAAGAACAGTTATTTTCAAGGAAGAATTAGTTTATTTAGTTTTAGTAGAACTCTCTCATCAACATTTGTAGGGAGAATCCCAGGGAACGGCATTAATCATATTTTCAGCACGTCACAGATTTTCTACTATGTTGCATATATGATACCTTTCAACCAATAAAAAGTATCACATAAGATAGGTCATAATTAATTACCTGCCACCATGTAGAAGAAAAACCTTTCCGATTGACGACTGAAGAGCGTTTCTGATGAAGGGCTTGATTTAAATGTTCCAGTTGTTGACTATAGATCTTTGCATTGACAGTTCGTGGAAGATTGAGGAGTTTGAAATTAATTACTCCTTTGATGTCCCACCAAATGCAAAGTATCACTTTCTGTGGATGGAGTCCAATTTTTTGGGTCGGAAGTGGTTTTGTCTAGGAACGAGCCATTGTTTTTGGCATTTAATATTCGCACAGAGAATCCATTTTTCACCACCAGTGACAATTCTGTCCAAAAATTGTTCACGCACCAGAATAGACAAAGCAATGTTCACACATTGGAAACGATGATCATCGGAGAGTTTGTGAGGCACCCAAACACCTTCTTTATGGAGTTTTTCCATATTCCTTACATGTTTATATATTGTTTCATGAGAGACATGCAATTTCAGGGCCATTTCACGAGTGTATTGCCTTGGGTTAGACTCAAAAAGCGTCTTTAGAGCATCAATGTCAATTCCAACATGTCG